CACTTCTACCCTGACTTCTCTCGACTGCGAGAGTCCTTCGGAGACCCAAGGAGAGAGTCAGGTCTGTAATTGTGCATGTGTGTTTGCGTGTGTGTGTGGTGTGTGTTTGTGTTTGTGTGGGAGTGTGTCTGTGTGTTTTTAAAAAATGTGTGTGTGAGTGTGTGAGAAAACAAGCTCTTGGTTTATTTAACACCGTGCCAGCATTATGACTCAGACTTCTTGGAACAACCTTGCAGTGTGTGTGTGTGTGTGTGTGTGTGTGTGTGGTGTGTGTGTGTGTGTGTGTGTGTGTGTGTGTGTGTGTGTGTGTGTGTGTGTGTGTGTATGTGTGTGTGTGTGTGTGTGGTTCCAGCACACGAAACTCCTCTTTCATCATATAAGCATTAAGGTCGGTTTTCATAAAAATGTGAATCATCAGGATTACTTTTCTTTCAGCAGCTTTTTGAGAATAACAAACAACTTTTACATCTCACACTTTACTCTGTTGTAGGAAACATACAAAATATTTGTCAGACAAATAATCATGCTTATTTCAGGGATTTTTTACAAAAAATATTTAGATTAAAGATTGCATTTAGCAAAAAGTTGTTGTTTTTTCCTCTCCGGGATTCAGAGGTATTCAGGTATATAACTTCCTTCCCTATGACAAATAAAAAAATTATATTTTAGGAAAATGCCATTGTTTCAAATCAGGAAAATGTAGTTAGTATGATAATCAGATAAGCCAGCTTTGACTGTTTAAACATCTCCTGCAGGAATATGCATGAAACATATGAATGCGGCCTTAAAAGAAATCCAAAAACATCAGATACATCAGTCTGCGCTTTCAGTCCTCTACTTTGCTTCACTATAAACTTTTTTAATACAAGATAATCCCAATCATATCCTGTAGTGAGTAATGATCCATTATTTTCATATCTTGCATGTCTGATATTTGAAAGAAGAATATCTCTGACATTTCTTCTTGTCTGCATAGCTCAACAAGATATTAATCAGTTTAGATTTTAAAACTCCTGCAGTCCCAGCTCTTCTTACGCTGCTATGTTCAGCTGCTTGTGTTTTTCTGACTCTCCGATGTACGTCGATTTGGATAAAAGCGACCTGCTAAAAGAATTGTAGAAGTGTAGTTCACAGGCTTGAAGATATAGAGCAGCATGGGGCAGCAGGGGAATGATGAATTCATGAAATAAACAGTTCAAAATAAACAAAAACAAAAGCAAAGTTTCCATCAAACTCACAAAGTCTGAAATAGCTGCCAGAAAGGAAATCAACTGATCCAAAAGACCTTCAGACAAGTCGAGTGTGGATGATTTGTAAAAGAGACAAAATATGTCAAAGTCATCTCTTTTTTAAACACTTAGAACGATCAAACGCTCAGACAGACAGATGTTAGTCGTCTTTTAAACACAGTTTAAATGCAAACTGAATCATGTCTCTCTCTCAAAGGAGAAATCATTAAACCCATTAAAATGTGTTTTCTGTCAGGACTCAGCAGCAGGTGGAGGACGGTAAACGACTTGCAGAGTCGTGTCCTCGCATATTAAACCTCTCAGCTTAACTCATAAAAACTGAACTGTTGTGTTTGACTGAGGCTCATTAGTCAAAGAATCACTGCTGAAACAAAAAACACTTCTGATCCGGTTTGTTGTGTGATTACCACCAAAAAAGACATCAGACAGTTGGTCAGGTTTGTCTTTGTCAGCAGGATCATTAAAAAAAAACCTGAAGGCCTGATTTTCATCGGACTTGTTGGGAGTGTGCAGCTCGCACCAAAGAAGAACACGTTCAATTTAGGGGCCGATCTGCCTAAATGTAATTATTATTGCTTTTGAAAATGGTACCCAGACTACATAGCACCTGTGTTTGCAGATTTGAGAATCATTAAGGTCCACACCGATGCCCTGCTTTGAGGTCTTACAGCATTTTCTTATTCAAAATAAAAATGTAATTAAATGTAATAACATTTGTTGAAGCTGGTTTTAGCCTCGCTAAAACAAATGGCATTCATGAGACTGATTATAATTTCTAATTAAAGTCAACTGCTGTTCTTTTCGATTCAATTAATACACTATTGATCCCACACTTTAGCCTGAAGGTTTTGATTAGGGATGTTCCCAGCAGACTAATTGGATAATAGGTTAAACAGAGATTTCAATTCTGTTTAACCGACTAGTCTAAAGGTGAGAAAACAAAACAAAAACAGTCAAAATAAAGCACAGTTTATTGAAACTTGTCAGCGGCTAAGTGGTGTAATTTGGGTTTGCTGAATGTGGCTAACATAGCAGAGCTAGCATAGCCAGCCTTCAGTCCTCCCAGCAGTTAAACATCCACATGGCAAAGCTAAAAGCGTCGCTCTGGTCAGTTTGTCCGTTTAACCTGGAACAATATGCATATTTTTATCTCAGTTTTCTAGGTCAAAATGCTGACAAACTGCGCTGCTCCTATGAGATGCTATCCGGTCTTCACTGTGCTTGTTAACATCCAGGATGTAGAGCAGGGAGAGCAGGCCCATTAACCAGAGCTACAGCCAGTCTATGGTACAGCTCCAACAATTGGCGGGTGGCTGTGTTGCAGTTTGAGCACAACATTTGAATAAATCAATCACTCAATCTTTATTTGTATAGCGCCAATTCACAACAAATGTTATCTGAAGAGACTTAATACAAAGCAGGTAAAAGACCTTACTCATTGTTATTTTATAAACAAAGAACCAACATGAATCCATCGTGAGCACTAAGCAACATTTAGCAAAGTTACATCGGCAAGAATAAAAGACCTTTCAAGAGGCAGAAACATTTGAATATTAATTGTTTGTTTAACCTACTGATACGGTGCTGAGTTACGAGGGTGATGATGTTAAACTGTTAAGTCGACTGAACGCGCACATCCCGAGTTTTAATCATTATTCTGTGTTGCTTCTTCATTTTTAACGTTTAAAACAACACCAGATTATAAAACTTCCTCCAAAAACATAATAATGATTCACTTCAACAAGTTGTCAGTTTAATGACCGATATTAAAATTGTATTTGATATATTAGCGACAATTTAGTTTGAGTTCGAAACAAGTCAGACTTTTTGATGAAATTCAGCTTAGTTCAGCGTCCTCTTTATGTCACACACATTCAGTTGAAAGAAAACAAAAATAACTTTGTCCCACAGCAGGTGAGTTTGACTGATCCCCTGCGCTGATGTTGTTAAACACAAACTTAGCCTTTTTTCCACTTTAGTGACTTTATCTGCACAGTTTGAAGTTTTGAATGTGAGGTAAACATGTTATATATATATTCCACTCTGAAATGTAAAAGAAAAAGAAAAAAAATACTTTTTGTCTTTTCTTAGCTGTACATTTTTAAAAAGTCATTCCTTATTTGCTCCAAACTTTTGACAGAACTGTAACTAGTTGGGTCCTTGTGACTGAAATATGACCTCTGTTCATTTTAACTTGAATTGTAAAGGTTGCTGACGTCACTGATGAAGTTTTTAAAGAGAGAAAATGAACAGAGGAGGTTTAAAAGGAGTCACACTGTGGTCACGCTCTGACTGGTTTCATAAAGAAATAAAAGTTTCTTTTTACTGTTACACACTGTGTAATGTGTGTGTGTGTGTGTGTGTGTGTGTGTGTGTGTGTGTGTGTGTGTGTGTGTGTGTGTGTGTGTGTGTGTGTGTGTGTGTGTGTGTGTGTGTGTGTGTGAGAAACAAGGCTGCTTCTGTGTGAACTTGTGACTGTTTTTCTATAAAACTTTTTTCTTTAGGATTGTTTTTTGTCGCTGCGGGATATAAAAAGACGATTGACTCTCTGCAGTAAAAACAATCTAAATTGCTGTGTTTTTTAATGTGTGTGTGTGTGTGTGTGTGTGTGTGTGTGTGTGTGTGTGTGTGTGTGTATTTATGACACTATAAAGAGGGGGGGAGTTCATGTCTGTAGGGCTGGAGGAGTGAGACGACATGTGTTCATCACATGCTACATAAAACCTTTGAAGAGAGCAGATCTGTTATGTTTGTGTCTCTGTTTAAAGGGTCAAGCTTGAAGCCTGCGGACGTTTTTTATCATATTAACATCATCTCATATAAACAGAACAGACAGTCAGTGTGTATGTTTAAACATCCCCATGTGATGTTTCCTTTTCTGATTCTTTACAACAGCTTTAAATAACACAAATATAACCCACAGTGTCATCATTATAAGTTAAGATCAATAAACTTTATTAATCCCTGGAGGTAAATTCACTCACACCATCCAGCAGAATATATAAAGACATAAAAGTTTAAAGGTTTAAGACATAAAAGCAGCATTAAAGTGATGAAAGCATCCGCACATTAATGATTCAAACAAAAATCATTTAATACGTGTTAAAAACTTAGATCGGAAAGCGCTTTAAAACGAAGAGACAGCAGGATTTTCAGCATCACACAGAGATGCTTCATTCAAACAGTTTTTCATTCTCAGGTTTTAATCCGTCCAACTCCCCTGAGAGGACATGTACATTTGAACACGATCAACTATTCGACAGAAAAATGAAACAAGTGAAGAAGAAGAAGAAGAAGAAGAAGAAACAGGGCGACGATGAAAGAGGGAAACATTTAATAAGTGTGTGTATATGTGAACACTTGTGAAAAGATTCTAACACAAAGCACAAGCACAAAGTTGTGCATCTTTATTTTCCCTTTTTGTCATTTTTTGTTCTTCTTAGTCTTTATTTCTCCTTTTTTTTCTTCCTTGTTGTCTCACATCTTCATTATCCCTTTTCTTCTTCTCTTCTTCATCTTTCTTTAACTTCATCCTTGCCTTTGTTTCTTCTTTCTGTCTTTTACTTACAGTCTTCACCACCCCTGTCCTTCTTTATTGTTACTTTTTTTCCTCTCCACTCTTTTTTTCATTTCACTTTTTTCTTCCCTGACTTTTGATTTTTTTCTGTTTTCCCAAATATCTTATAATTGAATGTGGCAGAGACATCCGAGTGTTCCCTGGTTTCTCTGTGTGTTTCTGTTTCTGTCCTGATGTTTTAAGAACTATCAGGTTTTCCGTGACTCGGTCTGAAGTATCGATGGAAACGTTCAAAGTTAAACCTTTAATCCTTCATGTTAAAAAAAGAGCAGATATTGAATCCCCTCGCTGCAGAAACAGTGTGAATACATTCAACATCTCTGCAGAAGTTTCCACTGATGGTGGAGATTTTGTTCCTCTTCTGCATGTAAATACATTCAGTGACGCACTCGAGTGATGAAGATTAGAGGGGAAAGACACCAGCAGCTTATGTCTGTCCAAAATCAA